AGCTTAAAGAGTGTGGGCCTACTGAGGGGCTAGGCAAGCCCCTGATTAGAACTGGTTGGGACTGAGGCCAGGGGCTCAGATGAGCCCAGTGGAGTAAAGGGCTGCCGGATAAAAGATCTCTGGGGCTCTGGGCAAGCCCGGTAGGAGTTGATGGCTTTATGGTGGGGCCCAAGGGGGGACCCCTGCTGAGTAGGTAGGTCAGCTGCTGCTACACTGATCCTCAGACTCTCAGCTGGCCAATATAAGGAGGCCAAGGCCAATAGGCCAAAGGGCATGGAAGCCATTGCAAGAGGCAGGTCAGGGCTGCGGAGAGCTACTGACACCCTGACTGGCCTAGAGACGGGGCAAGAGCCTAAAAGAGGCTGAAGGTCCCCTTGATGGGTGGGACATAACTGCTCAGAGAGGATAGGAGGTCAGCTAGCAAGCAGGCTGGTATGAAGGAGGCTGAAGCCCAGCCTCCTTATGGGAGGTATCCTGCAGGGGGCCTGAGACAGATCGAGCCTGTGGCTGAGAGGAAGGGTATGGGAAGGAGACTACAACAGAATGCCTTGGAGCGAGCAGCCTGGGAAGAACATCCGGAATCCCTGTGTGGGAGACATAGGTGACATGTAGGGTGGGCACAGGGGGGCATGTGCCCCCCCCCCCCCCCAAGACTGGCCACTGCCAAAGCCACTGCAGGCTTCTGCGGGCAGTCGCCGTATGCACCTGTTCCGCCCCCCTCCCCAACACACCACCACCAACGCGGCCGGTGACAGCTGCATGTGGTCTCTGTTTGCCACCACCAACATGGATGCCAGCAGCTGCAGGCGGTCCCTGCTCGTACCCGCCGATGTCTGCAGGCGGTCCCTGCTCACTGCTCACCACCATGGTGCCCCCCCTGCTCCCAGTCTCAGGAGGCACCAGTCGTTCATGGTAGAAGGAGTAAGAACCAGGGCAGGTAGGCCTGCAGTTGGTCCTGCTAAATGACCTAAAACTACACCCTGCTTGGGAGAATGGTGCTTGTGGTGGGGCAGTTCTTAGGGAATGCCCCACCAGTGCCTCCCTAGTGAAAGGCGAGTATGGGGCACCAGAAAGCCTCATCCCCCTCTGCCTTGCAGGTAACCCTGTGGAGGGGAAAGGCTAGGGGAGCACACCCTGAGAGAAAAGGAACAGGCTTAGGCAACAACATAGAGGTCAGGAGGGCCTGAGGCCCAATGCCTGAGAGTGAGACTCGGGCAACAACACAGGGGCCAGAAGGGCCTGAGGACCAAGACCTATATGAGAGTGGGGCTTAGTTGGAGACCCAAAGAAGTGAGGTCTAGGTATGTCGACAGATGCCTGAGGTCTGAATGGGCCGTAGGCTGAGAGTGGGATCCAGGCACTTTGACAGACACCTGAGACCCACTAGGCATAAGGTCCTGTAGCCCCAGTGAGGGGCAGAGTAGTGACCCCATTGAGAGGGTACAGCATGAGGGGCTAGGAGCCTAATGAAAGGTAGAAAGCCCAGAGTGCATGCAGGAGTAGAGGCCCCAGTGAGGGGGCATGTGGCCAAGGTAGTCTGCGGATGCCTAAGGCCAAGTTTGGGCCACAGGCCAAGTGCGGCCCAGCAATGGGGCCGGGGGAGTAAGGGTGGAAGAAATTCTTGAATGCTATCTGCAAGGCATGGGACACGGTAAAGGAGAAGCCAGAGCTGTGTATTATACTCTTGGCATCAGGGCATTAAATGGGCCAAGGCACCAGACAGAGCAACCCACAGGGGAAGAGTTGCAGGTAGGTAGGCACACTGACTCCATTATATATAATTTTTCCTTTTTTATTGCCCAGGAACATAATGTTTACGTTGCAATTTACCCCAGTGGCTTTGGGATGAGGCTATAAGGGGAGGTGGATGCCTCACTAGTGCCCAGAGGGGCACAGCTACAGGGGCCAGAGAGCCAAGCGCCAGAGAGGTGCCGCTACACATGGCCAGGGGCTTGCAGACAAGAGGAGATTGATTAGATGCTAGTCAGGGTACCCGATAAACTACCCTATCTGATCCTCCTAGAATGCAACTGGCTGGAGTTAGTAACAGTGATAGCCTGCGAGAGACTGAAAACTGAATCAGGGAGGCATAGCATGAGAGAGGCGAATACAATCAGTGAGCCTGCATGTCTCAGGCAATTTCGGGGTGAGGTTGAAACCCCAGGAGATGGATCAGAGGCAGGAGAAACACACAGTGGGAGGCCAAGAAAAGTAGAGACCCGAAGCTGAGGAAAGGAAAACCAGGGCTGAGAGCCCCAAGGATGACCCTGTTGTTGAGGGGTTAGCTGGAGATACCCACAGGCCTCCATCAGGGGAGGACGCAGAG